CTAGAAGTTACGTATTGCTATAATGGGGGAAGGTACAAGGACCCCCCTCCCCCCACACCCTCCTCCCCACCCCCCACACCCCCTCCTCTTACCCCCCACACCCCTTCACCCCACACCCACTTCACTGCCTACACCCTCCCCACTCCCCACACCCCTCTTCTACTCCCCACACCCACTCTGTCAAGCCCACACCCCTCCTGCCCTCACACCTCCTCTCTTTCCTCTTCTCTCTTCTCTCTCGTGGGTCTGAGTCTCCCTTAATGAGTCCTGCCCCTTCATACTCTGTTGTCTTTCGCTCCCTCTCTCCCCCTGCCCTTCCCTCCTTTGGCCCTTGCCCCTCCTGCTCCCCCCTCCCTCCTCCACTACATTTCACACTTCCTCCCATAAGCCAGCTCACCCTTCCACACACTTCTTTCCTTTAGACCCCTAACATCCTCACCCCCTCCTCTCATCTCCCTACCATACTCTCCTTCCCTAATGAGCACCTCTCCTCCCCAACCTTCTTAACGTCCACCTCCTCCACTGGCTCACCCTCCCACTCATCTTCACCTCCTCCTCACCGCGCACCTCCTCCCTGGTTTCATTCTCCTCCCTACTCCCATCCTCCTCCTCCCCAGCCTGTTCTCCCTCCCCCCACCACCTCCCTCCCACTACCTCACCTCCCTCCCACTGTTTCACCTCCCTCCCACTATTTCCCACCTCCCTCCTCCTAACTCATCTTCCTCTCTCTAACCCAGCTCCTCTCACCTGCCCTTCCTGACTCTGGTTACTCATCACCAACATAAGCAATGTAATTAGTTACGGATGAGGAGCACACATTTTGGACGTGGGTTATAGAGGCTGTAACTAGGGGAGGGGCTGTAATTAGGGGGAGGTTGTAAATTAGGAAAAGCAAATTAGGGGAGAGGGGTTAAAATTAGGGGGAGGGGCTGAACAGGGGTAGTTGTAACTAGGGGAGGGGTTGTAAATTAGGGGAGAGGTACAAATTAGAGGCTAAATTAGGGGGAGGGGTTGTAATTCAGGGGAGGTTAAATTCAGGGGGAGGAAGCACAAACTTAGGGGAGGCCAAACTAGGAGGCTGTAAAGGGAGGGTTGAATTAGGGAGGCCAGAATCTAGGGAGGGGTTGTAAATTAGGGGAGGGGTTGCAACTAGGGGAGGTTGTAACTAGGGGGAGGTTGCACCAGGGAGGTTGTAACTAGGGGAGGGGTTGTAACTAGGGGAGGTTGTAACTAGGGTGGAGGCTAACTAGGGGAGGCTACACCAGGGAGAGGGCTCTGAGGATAAGGAGAGAGGGCTGTTATAACTAGGGAGGAGAGGGGAGCGAGAGGAGTGGGGAGGAAAGAGGGAGTTAGATGCTGAGGAAGAGATGATGAGAGGGGAAATGGGGGGAGGAGGGGGAGATGATGGAGGAGAAGGAGAGGAGGGAAGACAGATGGAGGGAGAAGAGAGGGAGGGAAGATGATGGAGTGTTACCTGACAGTAGACAGAACAAGGACAGGTAAAGGACAGTAGATGCAGACGGTCAGACGGGGTCGGTGTGTGATTTCTGCTAGGGTATATATAAGAGAAAGAGAAGGAGAGAGAGAGCGAGAGAGAGAGAGAGAGGAGAGAGAGAGAGAGAGGAGGCAGAGAGAGAGCGAGAGAGAGAGAGAAAGAGAGAGAGAGAGAGCTATTGTCACATATTTTACACCCTATTATTCTCATAGCAAACAAATAAAACAGACAGACAGACAGATGACAGACAGAGAGAGACGTGATAGATACTAGTAAAAGAAAAACATTATTATGTACTCCCTGGCAACACCAATAATACAGTATAAGGATGATGAGGGGAGTGGTTAACGGAAGCACCTGCTAGTCTGTCTGTCTGGCCTGTGCTCCGCCTGTCTGTCTGTCTGTCTGTCTGTCTGTCTGCCTGCCTGTCTGTCTGTATGTTCCGTCCATTGGTTTGTTGTCTGTATCAAAGACTATGGAGTGATGGGCAGATCTGGCAGAGGCAAGACCTTATTGTTGTTTTGTGTGTGTGTGTGTCTGTCGGGGCCAGAGGCCAAAGGTCACTGCGATGATTAAGACAAACTCTTCATATTTAACTGTGTGTTTGTTTGTTTGTGTTTGCTTGTTTTTAATTGTTGTTTTTTCTTCTTTTTTTTCAGGTAAGTTCCTCCAGCCTTTGTTATGCCATTATCAAATATGTGAGCAACACCTTGTGGTAATGGTAGGTAGGTAGGTAGGCAGGTAGTGGTAGGTAGGTAGGTAATGCAGATAGTGGTAGACTTGGGGTGGGTAGGAGGCGGTAGGTAGATAATGGCAGGGTGGTAGATAATGCAGGTGGTAGGGGTAGTAAATAGCTTGTAGGTAATGGTAGACAGAGATCATGGTAGATAATGGCAGGTAGTGGGTAGGCAATGGTAGGCAATGGTAGTGGTAAATAATGGTAGGTACGTAAAATATTGCAGGTCCAAGCAGGGTAGGTAGGCATGGCACGCAGGTAGTGGCAGGTAATGGTAGGTAATGGTAGGTAGTGCAAATAATGGTAGGTAATGGGTAGGTAGTGGTAGATCAGGGAAATGGGTAGTGGTAGACTATGCAGGAAATTTGGTAGGAGGGTAGATAATGGTAGGTGTGGTAGTTAGTGTGTAGTGTAATTGGTAGTTAATGGTAGATAATTAGGTATTGGTGAGAGAGATTGAAAATTCATCTCTTTGTCTATCTGTTTGAAGAGAGAGAGAGAGAGAGAGAGAGATGCAGACTCTATATTGTAGTCTGCATCTCTCTCTTCAGGGTGTGTTAGATTAAAGCTCTCATCTTACCTGTGTGTGGTGAGGAGGAGGAAGGGGAAGGGAAGGGGGATAAGGGAAGGGGGTGAGATAAAGGGAGAAGGAGGGTAGGGAAAAGGGGGGGTGAGATATGAGGGTAAAGACGAAGGGAGGAGGGGTG